GCCCATGCCCCGCTTGCGAGGAGCAAACCACCCGCTGACTAGGTGGCTTACAGCTGTTTGCGCATCTTGTTAACTATAAACAGGAGCTTTACGTACACGGAACACAAATGCCTCTCTTTTTGTTCTTGTCAGCTATAAACGGGAGCTTTACGTACACGTTTTTGTTATTGTCAGCTATAAACGGGAGCTTTACAGAGACAGAACACAAATGCTCTTCTTTTCTATGACGTGTTCGCGAACGCGGGGCGTAGTTTAATTGAAAACTGTGACACCAGCGGCAGGCCTCGCTCGGTGCTCCTGGTATCCGATCTCTCGGCGGAGAATGGATGTTGTAACACGACTAAGCCACATGAATGGGGGTCAAAGAACATGCACACTACTCTCCGCTCTTGTGATATGAGGATATCTTTTTAAGCAGCTATGGGGTGTGCCAGGCTTTGGCCATGAATTTCAATTATAGTTCACGGTGCATCTTCCAGCCTGCGCCAGGCCGTGACCATTGCGGAAGGTACGCCGGTCAGCCGCGCCCTACCCTGCACTGTTGCGAAGGCCTACTATGATGGCCAGTGAGAAAGGATATAAGCTATGAGCCAAACAAAATTGCTGTCGTATTTCCACAGTGACACGCTGCAGGCCTAGGATGTCGAATGCCCTGGACATGACCTGGACTTGCCCTGCCACTCGCGTCCCGTTGATTTCAGTTGGTATGCTTGGCAAGCTGTAAATAAGTGTTATAGGGTGGCGGTTTATAATTAATTACGATCGGTAAAATGATTCCCATTTGAACTGCATGCCGCTGTGCTGCCTCACTTCTCCCGGCTACTTGGGTGCTGTTTCTTTTGCTCCACTGCCCACAAAGCCTGCATCCTATACACCGAAAGAACTTAAATCTTATTGGTGTGGTGCTTTCACTACACGAAGATGGCAACCCGTACACGGACGGAACGCGGCGTCCTTGGGGCGAAGAGTATTTTGCGTGGGGCGCAACCCACCTGATATGAACTTGAAATGGTGGGGTCAACCTATAGGAGGTGAGGAAGCCGGATAAACGGGCAATCAACACTCGCAAAGTGACGAGGTGGTGACACTATTAAGTGATGGCAGAACAATGCCGGTCAGGGTTCCGGCTAATATCCACACTGCTGGCTGGGTATTCCACTACTAACCCGTTCTTGTTCCCACAAATAAGAAATACGTGTCATGCATGCATCGACAGATATGCGTGGTGCAACGTGAACTTCTAACATGCTCATCACATGGAACGTGCGTAACCGTGTTGATTTGGAGATCCACCGCGCTTGTATCTGCACTTACCAACAGAATGTTCGGTGCTATTTTAAAAATGTGCACAACAAAGTGTGTCTCGCTCCACGAGCCAAATCCTGGTCCCAACTTGAAAATCGTTCATCCGCTCTCAGCCACCCGCTCTGGAATCGGCGGCCGCTCGCGCGCCGCACGTGCTCCGGCGGACAAAGGATGCCCATGATGCTCGGCCGAGACTTGCACGCGCCGACCACCGGCGGACACGTGAAGCCTCCTCCCTCCTTCCCCTGGCTCCACACCGGCGCCGGCAGCTGTCAGCGAATAGTTCTGCCAGCCGCCGACAGTTGTCAGATGTTCGACGAGACGACCAGCACTCCACGTCCGCCAGCCGCAGGGGGCGCCCGCCGCAGCGTGAAGTGGGGCCTCTACCGCATCCCGCCATGTTTCGGGCGCTCTGATTATGACCGGGTAAAATTCATAGGAATGAGTTTTGTGAGTAAGAGTGAGTGAGTTCAGTAGGCCACCAGCTACCGTTTGTTGAGCTGGGGCTGCAGGAGAAAACAGGTGGTTTTGCAGCATCAGTCTTGCAAACATTAGCCAGGTAGCCGTCGGCGGTGACTGCCGGGCGCTGCATTAGTGTTGACAGTGTTACGCACAGACAGTGTTCTTTTAGTGTTAAGATGGTGTTTTAGCGGCGTGTTCTTGTCATGTTTTCTGCTACAAGCTGCCTTTAAATGAAATCCCGCAAATACACGCTTACAAGACACTTTGAAATCTCGAGACTTTAAAAATATGAATCACAGCAATCGGTACTGATTTCAAACCTGTGATACCTGATTTCAAACCTGTAATTTTACACTTGCGATACTTCTATAAACCGTAGGGGTTAGCATCCTTGCTTGCTGACCCAATATTGACGGGTGACGTCATGCCCCTGAGCATGTTCCTAAAATGAGGCCCACTAACGAAGGCCAGCCAAACGTCCCCTCGACGTGTTTAGAAAGCGATCATCTGAGGAATTAAGTGAAGTACAGTGAACTCAAGCCACGCGTTTTCGGAACGTATTTGCTACCTTGACATGGAGCTGAGTGCATAAGTGTCACAAGTATTAGACCAAGGACGTCAAGATTACACCCAAAGCATACAAATGTTTACAAGATACACTACAATATTTTTACAATACAAGAGCTATTGACATTATTCCGATGCTTCACCGACCAATAAATTTCTTCAACCGGACAAAACGTGCTCGGAAATGACAAGGAACGACCGGGTTCTAAATTTTGCACGCCCGTAACTAGGTACGATCGCCGTAAGAACGGCCGTGGGCGTCATCACATTCCGTTGCTGCTTGATGGCACAGTCACCGTAAACTACCGCTTCAATAAACCGTAGATCACCGTAGGAATGCCACCTCTTCAATTAACTCATGAACCCACTGTATTTCCGAACCCCCCATTTTGCACGGTAAGATTCAGTGCTCACAGCGGTCCCACCTGGTTTCCGTCCTTCACTGCTCGCTCGTCGCCAATCATGGATGCAGTGTTGGGTGGAATGATGTGCAACACGCCACAGGGCTGCGGGCTGAGCCGCGCCCAGGCTCAGTGCTGGCGAGGCGCGCGCGGCTTGACATTGCACAAGGTCAGCTTGCAAGCGCAGATCGAGCGTAGTTGGTGTGCAGGCTTTCTCGGAATGGAAATGCCGCGTTGAAGCGTCATCCGAGACGGATGCTTCCATTTGCTCACTCAGCCTTTAAAAACAAAGGTTTTGAGTTGGTACTCGGACGACACATTTACTTTCTCCCAAAGTGCTACATTTTGGAAGGGAGAGCATAGGCACATATGTACGCGACAACTCTGAATAACATTCTGTAACCTTAAATGGGTGAAGTCTTCACTTATTCGTCGCGAGCTTGTATCTGTTCAAAGAAACATGGCGAATGAAACCATGTAGCCACTGGGTTGTTATTAATTTTCATGCCTTTACCGAACCAGTTCCGAGCCCTTGCCGAGACTGGCCCCTCAGTCAGACGCGGCGCACGTGTGGGAGCGGAGAGGCGGAGAGGCCCACACCCGGTCTTTCCCAGCCGCGGGAAGCAGTTGGGAATTCCCGGCTCTGCACGAACCGGCTGTATATATCCCACAGAATGCTGGCGCGTATCCCGCCAACCCGGCCTGGCACGGGCGTGAATTTTTCAGTTCTACAGGCCTGTCTAAAGCCGTTTATTGCGAATCGAGGCGCTCGTCTAGATCCAGTCAAGGCTAGGGGAATCCATGCTCTTGAGCGAAGCCGATGCACCGCCAGATATCCGTTGTGTCTGCTGCCTTCCATTCGGCATGTTCTACCGGTTAAAGAAGCCTCTCTTCAAACACGTCACAGTCTATTCAGGGGGGCGAGCTTATATAAGAGAGCCCATGGTCCGCCGCTAAACCTTTTCCAGGATGAGAACCGTGCTGGCCGTGTTGGTGGTGGTGGCGGCCGGCGCCGCCGCGCAGTATGGAGGTAAGCGCCATCTGTTGGAACGCTGGGGAACTAGGCCGGTTTGTTTATGCGCACACCAGTGCGGCTGCGATTCTCCTGGACACGGCATAAGCCCGAGCAAGGTGTAATCCGCTTATTGACGTGGCATTTGCTGATGCAACATATGCGCTCCGTTGGAGTTCGAGACTGATTGGTTGAGAAGCTATTCTTGTGTCAAGGGATAATGATAATCATTCAAGCTTGCAAACGTCACTTACGACCAAACGAGCGACAGATGTTAATCAAATGTTCTGAATTTCAAGTGAACGTACTTTGCAGCCGCATACCTCGGACTTGAACTGCATACAAATATAAATATCGGAACGCAGCAACTTGTAGTCTGAAGTAATATGTCAGCGGAGTGTCAGTCAAAGTCATCGATCCAAGTAAAAAAACGACAATCACATCGCATCGCGATAAGCTAAGCTCAAATCTACATGTTCCCAACCTACGTACCATGAGAAGTATATCACCTCGAATCGAAGACGCATTGTCGGCACTGACCCATGCGCCATCCCGGACACCTTTCCGTTTCAGGGGGCGGCGGTGGCGGGGGCGGCGGCGGTGGTGGCGGCGGCGGCGGCGGCGGCGGCGGCGGCGGTGGATACGGGGGCGGCGGCGGCGGATACGGGGGCGGGTACGGAGGATATTGGGGCGGATACGGGGGATACGAGGGGTAGACTACTACCCAGGAGGCGCGGGCCAACCGGGCGGCGGTGCGTTCGGGGGTGCCGGTGGCCGGGGTGGTGGTGTGTATGGAGGTGTCGGTGGTTGGGGCGGCGGACCGTATGCAGGTCCCCACGGTTGGGGCGACGGTGCGTACGTGGGTCCGTACGGGGGTGCCGGCACCCGGGTGGCAGTGTGTATGGAGGTGCCGGCGGTCGAGGTGGGGGACCGTTCGGAGGTCCCGGCGGCCCTGGCGGCGGTGCGTACGCGGGTGCGCAGGGGGTGCCGGCCACCCGGGTGGCAGTGTGTATGGAGGTGCCGGCGGTCGGGGGGGGACCGTTCGGAGGTCCGGCGGCCCTGGCGGCGGTGCGTACGCGGGTGCGCACGGGGGTGCCGGCCACCCGGGTGGCATTGTGTATGGAGGTGCCGGCGGTCCGGGCGGGGGACCGTTCGGAGGTCCCGGCGGCCCTGGCGGCGGTGCGTACGCGGGTGCGCACGGGGGTGCCGGCCAGCCGGGTGGCATTGTGTATGGAGGTGCCGGCGGTCGGGGTGGGGGACCGCTCGGAGGTCCCGGCGGCCCTGGCGGCGGAGCGGCGGCGGCGGCCAGCAGCGGAGGCGGCACCGGCCACGGTGTGAGCTGCTTGGACGGACAGCCGGGCCAGTCCGGTTATGGACCTTATGGTAAGCGCCCGTCCCGACTAAAGACCTTATGACGAGCTCCCGGTCCGACTTTGAACCTCATGCTTAGCTCCCGCTCCGACTATGGACCTTGCGATGAGCTTGCTGTTCGACTTTGGACGGCGAACTCTCGTGAGCCCAGGCCAACGGTGGTGGCATAGCGCATCCAATCGAGTTCTTCGCCATTCTATCGGCTATTGCATGCGTCTGTTACACCATTGTCACAAATTTGACAGTTTCTGCCAGCACTGCTTGCCAAAAGCATTGTAGCTTGCATACCCGAGTTGCTCAATGCCATCCAAGTAACGAGGAGAAAAGGCGTGGAATACTATGGACTATTCCAAAATATATCGAGCAATTGTTTTAAGCTTCGTGCTCAACCTGCCACATACGGAACATGTATTGTAGTGAAAAACCTTTTGTTTTAAGAAGACCAAATAACATTCTTTGAAACTCCGACATTCTTGGACATTTCTTTACCAATTTTAGCGTTTGCGTATTTCACGCAGTAGCTATTGCCAAAACGGGTATTATACGGTTATTTAGTACTCGTTTTACGGGCATTGTGGTGCGATACGCTCAAACAACATTTGACAGGTTTCGAAGGTGCCCACGCATGTCGGTCATTCAGTGCTGCCCCGACCGTCAGGTGGCGCCGGAGGCCGCGGCGGCGGAAGGAACTGCTTAGATGTGCGTTCGGGGCCCGCTGGTGTGAGCACGGTGAGAGCTCCCGCTGATGCGAACACGGTGAGAGCTGGGGACTAAGATACCGAAATCCGGCGTTGTTCAATAACTCATGAGAGTACACACACACACACATCACTTGCTTCAGGCCGGAGGATTGGTGTAATAGCTTATATCATCTTCCTGTGATGTTTCTCAACTACGCCAAAGCGTGCCTCGGCGTGTCAAACAGCAGCCCAATACCAGAGACAATGCTATTAATGAGTATACAGCGTAACAATGCCATGATCCCTCGTGTCGTGGTGTCTCATAATTGCTTTGTTTGTGTCTCCACGGCAGGCGCATGCAGCTGGCGGAGGTGCGCCAGGGGCTCCAGCGGGGTATGCAGGAGCTGCGGGAGCGCCTGGGAAAGAGTGACCCCTGTTGGCAGGCTGAGAACACCCCGGTGCCACACATGGCGTTGACAGTATTTCTGCTGGCGTTCTAACCATGCATTATTTAAAACAGAGCGCTAGCCATCCGCTTTGGTGTATGGGCGCGTATAGTTTTAGAGACGATGTACCGTGCCACCCTCCGGCTCTCTGTACGTCACTGAAGTCTGACGGTGCACTCTTCTCTGTTGTTGTTGGATTGGTGGAATGGCATGGCTGACCGTCAATATCGTGATCGCTTTCTGCACATACACCGTGTATGGCGTCTCAGTTCAGTGTAAATGCACCTAATACTTGCACTGTTGTAGACCTGACCATCCCGCTGGCAAGCTTGCAAGCCGCAGAGGCACTTGATGCGCATCAAATGGCCATGCAGGCTGGTAAGACTGGCCTCGCGGTGTATCGTGTACGTTAGATACAAAATATAACGTATTTGACTTTAGCTCATTGCACACACTTTAGCTCATTGCACGACGTGAATGGCACAAAGGCGATGAATATCACGCCGAATATGTCCGAAATGCTGGGATTCACCGGCAGCTGGGAAATCGGAAACGGCGACCAACAAATCTGCTGTCATAAGACATACCTTGGTATGAAATAGCCAATTTCATATCCTATTCCTGCCATATTAACACGTCATGCTTTGCACCTATGTCGACCAATCAACCATCAGTACGCAAAAGCTGAACCTTGGAAAAGCAAAAACAAAATACCAACCTTGATGACCTTGGGATGTCACAGCATAAGAACACGTCACAGCCTTAGTGTGCCAGTAACGTGTCGGCATTGTTCGAGCCTGCCGCGTAACGTCATCGATATTGTTATATTCATAATTTAAGATGATCTAATTCTGCTGTTTTAGTATAATGAGGGTTATTTTCTCCTCCAAAGAAGATGATTCATGTACAGTGTGTTTGTGCAAAGCCAAATAAAACCCGTGGCAAAACAAGGTGTACCGTTGCAGCAATGATAAGCCAGCCTGACGCCATCACTGAGTTTACCTTCATGTTTGCGGTTCCCGAAACTAGATGCAAAACAATCACAGTGTATGTTTGATGTCGTCATGGGTTTGGATGCAGGGATCGGCCCTCTAATAATTAGCATCCAGACACATTCGCATCATTATGCCCGACGGCGAGCAGAACAGGCGCGTCCTCGCCAGAGCTGACTCCAGACAAGCAGTAAGGGAACCATCCACATTTTGACAATGCTTTGGTAGCTATGGTATTTGAGAAATACTCAGAAATACTCCAACAAACCTGCTCTTGGCGATCCCCTGGAAACTCGTACAAAATGCCTCCTTCAAGGTGATGTTTCACATTTTAAGATTTTAAAGTAAGCATCAGATATGATGAAACAAGTCCACTTGTAACCATTGGTATATTTTTAAGTAGACAGACTGCTCCATACTTCACAATTTCTCTGTTCAGTAAATATGTTCCTCGGTGAGTCATTGTTGGACTACGTCAGCGTACTTCGTCGTACCACTGCAAAACAATGCGAGCCAGTTGACGGCCCTTGATAACCGGAAATTGCGCTCAACAACGCTAGTTATGAACAGCTCGAACACTTTATTTTCCTTGCCCTTGATCGCAGCATAGCTTATGGAATGGTAGGATTTGAATGATGGTATAATGACGTCATGCATGCCAAGGTGACTTTGAAATACCCTGCCCATTTTAACGGGCGTTTGGCTCAGGAACTAGAGTGGTTTAGGACTTAAGATGGGCAAGGATTGAACTGCATCGGAGGCTCTTAAAGGTGGATATTTCAGTTCAAAACCCTATAGAAATGTAGAACTATACCTTTCAGCGCAGCCTGACCTAATTCAAGGGACGAATATGGGGAAGCCGCGTTCCTTGTACCACTTTTATTAGTGACAGGACGGTAGTAGATTTGGCCAACTATATTAGCAGGTGTCAACTTATAGGTAATGCTACACATCTGAATGTGTTGAAGCCAAGGATCAGATGCGATGCAAAAAGGTCACTTATGACTGTTGGTATGCTTTCACGTAGAAAAGGTTGCTTTAAAAAACAAAACTTGTCTACGCGTGAACTTGTTCCACCGTACGTTGTTGTTTGATTACGTCATTGCACTTCACACAGGATTGGCTGAGAGCCAATCGACGACCGTGATATCTGGAAATCGTGCTCACGAACGCCAGATTTGACCGACTAGACCATTATATTTTTCCCGGTCTTGAATTGTGATATGACTTCGGTATGGGTTATGACATGACACGATTTTAATGACGTTTTCATCACCTCATGAATGTGAAGGTGACCTTGAAAAACTTCCCATTTTTGCGGTCGTGCAGCTCAGGAACCAGAGGGATTTAGGCCTTAAAGAGAGTGTTCAACATTTATATGGGGTTTTGGACTGAAATATCCATTATAAAGACCTTTCGGTTCACCTCAAAGCCCCGCCCTTCTTAACATCTAAACCCCCTCAGTTTCCGAGTTACACGCCTACGAAAATGGGGGACAATATTTCGGAAAGAGTATTCAAAGTCACCTTACAATTCATGACTTCATAAAAATGTCATTCAAATTCTGCGATTCCATAACCCATGCAAAGATCAAGGCTAAAGCAAATAAAATGGTAGACTCGCTCATAGCTGGCGTTCGTCAGCACGATTTCCAGATATAATGGCCGTCAATTGGCTCTCAATCACTGTTTTGGAAGGTACGATGACGTATTCAAACAATTAACGCATCGAGGAACATTTTTCCTAGACAGATAACTTATAGCACCCAGAGCAGTCTTCTCTACTTAAAAGTAGACTAATAGTTTTAAATGATCTTGTTTGGACTTGCAATCACTGTTTCGAAAGGTACGATGACGTATTCAAACAATTAACGCATCAAGGAACATTTTTCCTAGACAGTGAAATTATGGCACCCAGAGCAGTCTTCTCTACTCAAAAGTAGACTAATAGTTATAAATGATCTTGTTTCATCATAAGTGTTGCCTGCTTCAACATCTTCAAATGTGAAACATTTCTTTTAAGAAGGGCAGGGATGTGAACTGCTGCGAGTGGTTTTCGAGGTGGCTATATGAATTCAAAATCCCATAGAAATGTGTGAAACTTCCTTGAAAGATCGCAGATCTTGGTATGTTTTCGGATTCGATACAAGGCGGTTATTTCTGCTTCAGCTAAGCCATACTGCCCGCCCAAAAGCGCTATAATCCGTCATTGATTGGTATCCTAGCCGAACGCCGGACCGGAGGTGACCGGATGGCAACACCCGGATGGCAAGCTTGAAGACTGCTTTCAACAAATTAAAAAAGGATATGGTGGTCAAATATTAGAACAAATCCTGATACAAATTCAGAATAGGCACGATCTTTGGTCAAAACAAGGCACTTTCACAGTAACGTACCGATGGCATGGCGGGGCCGAACCAAGTCATGCATGAATGGTCAACATGCGCTAACATGAAGTACCTGCTAGGAAAACATGTTTCACAAGATCAGCGGGCATAAGATCAGCATGTTATTAAGCAACATACGAAATCGTAAGCAAGCATAGCACAGCAAAGCATCCTTCCAGGTTGTTGTTTCAAAGACAGCAATGTGATTGTTTTCTAACACTTTATCCGGCTAGTTCAGGGTCCGATGACGCTTCGTCGGTTGTCCAAACCATATGTGTGAAAGAATTTCTTCCAGAAGGAATCAAACGTGCTGTGCACGTCACGTAACTCTCCTCTCGGGTTGTGATTTTGCTCCAACCGTGGGTTTTTGGGTGTTAGGAATTTTCAAGTTTAGTACATATATTTCATGCAACTTTCGACGACATCACTCAAATCCTGCCTTTCCATAAGCCATGCGGCGAACAAGGGCAAACAATAGAAGTACTGAGTCGTTCATATCTGGCGTTCGTGAGCACGACATCCAGATATAAAGGCTGTCAATTGGATGTCAATCAATGCTGTGCGATGTACGACGACCAATCCAACAATTACGCATTGTAGAGCATATTCAATAAACAGAGGAATTATGCTGTTTAGAGCAGTCTTTTATACTTGATGCAGTCTTTATACTTTACGACGCTGATGGATATAGGCAGCGGTGTACATTTTATAAATTGGAACGGTTGAACCGAGGGCTCGACAGCCTAATCGGACTCCCCGATTTTTCTCACCGGATTTAGCCCACTTTATTCTGATTTAACTCAATGTACGCTTTATTCTTTGTATAATTTATTGAAGTCTTTAATTTAGGCCGTAGAGAATTAATGGCGGGTTGCATCCAGGGAGCAGACACTGGACGCACGCTTTTCTTCTCATCGGCACGTGAAGGCGTCCCCTTTAGAGGCCATCTTAATGCGCCGATGGCGCTCTTCTTTGGCGGTCATGGGACGCGGCATGCAGTTGTTAGCCATGAAGGACTTAGGCCATCCCCATATTCCAGAGCTTTTCACTTGAACCTCGCAAACCATTGCGTGTCTTATGGCGCTAGGTATGTGAAGTTCACTGCACTTGTTCATCCGCTCAGCCTGTGACGATTTGCATCTTGTGGTGAGAGCAACCACAACTTTTTGTTGTATGAGGGTGGTGCGAGACACCACTACGCAGAAAGATCAAAGGGGATAGTCTTTGAGTTACCCTCATTTTTTACCCACGTTTTTTAAAGTATTTCCGCCAAAAAATTGGGGGCAAGCCAACATCGGGGGCCCAACTCAACATTGCGTGAGGGGGACGGGACCCCCACTTTACAAATGCAACATATCTAATGCCTGTCTCAATATCATCAAATGTGGAGCATTCCCTTCAAAGAGAATGTCATATGTGCATGAGGTATTGAGCTCAAATGGCTATCATGAAGATTATTTGGTGCGGTTCACGGCGCTGCCCATCTTACGACAAGGAAGCCTCCATGTTTCTTAGCTACATGCCCGCAAATATGTGCATAGTTTTCGGAGACTATCTCAAGGCTGCTCACGCATCCCTAACGTAGTCATAACGTCATTCAAGTCCTGTCATTCCATTGTTCAAACGGCGATCAAGGCCAAGAAAGAAATGATTGTCTAGTGGTTCATGTCAGGCTTTCGTGAGCACGATTTCCAGGCATAACAACCGTTCATTTACTTTCAAGCAGTGTTGTGCAAGGGACGATGACGCTATCAATCAATGTTATGTTGAGCAGCATTTCACAAAACAGAGAAATTGTGCTGTCTTTAGGAGTCTTTTTCACTTAGAAGCGTATCAGCAGGTCAAAGTTTAGCGTTCACCGCAGAGAAACCCCTGCACAGCGCACCAAGAAAGGGAAAGACAAGCTCACTGTAGCTTTTTATAACATGTTTTACCCGAGCAAAATTACTTCCGTTGGACGGGTTACTTTCCGCTCCAAACACCGACGCTCGCCTTGGACTTTGTTTTCACTATCAGACAAATTGAAATGCACATTTTCTACGAGCAAAACAGAGTGCAGATATTCGGGAAAATATGGAGGAATATCCACCCTTCGCCCCCCCCCTCCCCCCGTGAACGCCGCAGTCCCACCCCCCCCCCCCTTAGCCCGTCCCCATGAACCTACCCCACAGAAGCCGCGGTGCGGAGTGTCCCGCGACACCGCTCCCCACGTCCCACATCCAGCTCGTCCTGGGATGGAACGTTTGCCACCTCGCGCATGCGCAATACTCGGCTGTGACACCTGGGATGGCGTAGTTATTCTGGCACATACACAAATTCCACTGCAGGCAAAAATGTGCAGCAAAGCTATTTAAGCCCAGAAGCTTTACCCGCGCTCCCAGAACCTACTGCTGTACACACAGGATTGGTGCACAAAATAATTACGCATGTCGAGCACAGAAGTGACATGGGTGACCTGGATACTGTATACAATGGATGCTGTAGATACTGTAGACACAAGTGACCTGGATATTGTACGCACATAGGTAGGCCGGATCGGAAGCAAAGCGGCTAGGGCTTCCTAAAATTAAGAAC